CTGAATTAAACTCTATCCATAATATTATGTTAAAATAGTGGATGTTAAATAGGTTTGTACAATAAGTCCAAACAAGTTTAACCAAAAAATGTTTATTTATTACAATTATGAAGGGTGGAGGGTTAGGTTTAGGGTTAGGGTGGAGGGTTAGGGTGGAGGGTTAGGGTGAGGATTAAGGTTAGGTTTAGGGTCAGGGTTAGGTCAGGGTTAGGTTTATGGGTGGAGGATTAAGGTGAGGATTAGGGTTAGGTTTAAGGTTAGGTTTATGGGTGGAGGGTTAGGTTTAGGGTGGAGGGTTAGGATTAAGGTTAGGTTAGTGTTAGGTTTAGGACATCGTTCGCCTTCCGATTTTGAATAGGCAAAAAAGTTTTGTTTCCACCTGAGAACGCTGCTAGTCATATGACCTAATCAAAATGGCCGACTTGGATGTGGGAGGATCTGGATAACCTACAGACTCCAGCTAGCCCCCATGCTGCTTCTCTTAGCTGCTTTGGACTTACAGTATAAGTCCCATCTCCGCTTGCTGTGAGATGGACTGGGTTTATTTTTAGCTGCCCCCCCCCTGGGATATTAGGAGGTTATCCTAATGGCTGCCAGGCTTTGATGCCTGTCATTGCCACTAATGTTCAGCCACTTTCGCCGTATTACGGCTAGTTTGCTGCTCTCTAATGTTGGAGTGATGCAGCTGCCTGCAGGAGTTCATAAACAAACCGTAGAGGAGCTGGACTCAACGGAAACTCACGCTTCAATTGAGATGAAAATAATCGAATAAACGCTCAGATTATTACCGTACGGGCTCCTTAGAGAGGGAGTCTGGTTAATCCCTAAGATATTACAGTGGGGGAAATAAGTGTTTGACCCCTTGCTGATTTTGCAGGTTTGCCCACTTACAAAGAATGCTTATTTTTCATCATCAGATGGTTATCAATTTTTATAAATTCATATGATGTGATTTTCTGGAATTTTCTTTGGGATTCTGTCTTTCACTGTTAGAATGTACATATGATTAAAGTTATAGATCGTTGCATTCTTTGTAAGTGGGCAAACCTGCAAAATCAGCAAGGGGTCAAATACTTATTTCCCCCACTTTAACAGCAAAAAGTCTCCAACCAGCCTTCGTTTCTTTATATTTTCTTTTTAAAAAGGTTTCAAAAGAAGAGTTTCATGTAGGTCTTTGAGAATTTTAGCTGACCGTTTTTCCTTTAAGCAGCATAACTGACCTCTGAGTCACTGAGGCAGAAACAGAAGTTCATAACTCAAGGGATGTACCAGTATTGTGTCCACACAGAAAAGGAAAACGGGTGTTTGCTCCCATCCATCCATTATCGTTACCGATTATCCCCTAATGGGGTCGGGGGGGCGGAGCCTATCCCAGTAGCCAATGGGGAGAGGCGGGGTCCCCCTGGACGGTCCCCAGTCCATCACAGGGACACACAGAGACACGCAAGGACCAACAACCACACACACTCACATTCACTCCTAAGGGTAATTTCCCCAATCTCCAGCCAACCTAACATGCAGGTTTTTGGACGGTGGGAGGAAGCCGGAGAACCCGGAGAGAACCCACAGACACAGGAGAACATGCAGAACCACCCAGAAAGGTCCTGGTTCCCCCGGGACTCCAACCCAGAACCCTCTGGTCCTGGTTCCCCCGGGACTCCAACCCAGAACCCGGAAGGTCCTCTGGCTGAGCCTCACATTTCTTGGGGTTTCTTTTGGAGGAAGTAGATAAATCGGGTAAATCTCTGTGATACAGAGAGGCCCGAAAGTCTTCAGATGGCCTCCAGTTTCCGTTAGACCAGTTATTAAGCAGCATTGTTAAGTGGAATGCACATTTTTGTTGAACCTCTCAAGGGAAAAAAGCTGCTTTGAGTTCAAGCTGAGAGATATTATCTGATAAGGAAACCTGATTTATATCAGTAAAAGTCGTTACAGTCGATCAATGACTCGCTCAGCTCTGTTTTAGAGAAACTGATTAAATATTGATCGAGTTTTCTTCGATAAAAACTAAAGCTTTGGTTGCCAGGTTAATTAAAGGGAAGCTGACTGGATATGAGAGCTTTACCTGATTTGTGCTGACCGGGTCTTAAACTTATTGTGAGCCCAAATGTCCGAGTTTTCTTCTGAAATGCATCAAATACTGAGAAAACGGGGAAGCCTCTTAGTCCATCTGGTTTTAAGCCTGAATCAAACATCAATCATTTGTTAATCTAGCTTGAAATGGTGTGCTTGGTACTGATTGACATTCTCTTACTAAGACGCACAGCTAATATGATAAAAGAAGAGACACTTGATTGTTTTTATTGGATAATTGGGTGTAAAAAGAGCCCCTTAGACAGGCAGAGTCTCTACAGTTAGTTAGGATAAAAACCTTTTTATTGGGAACCATCAGTCTGATCATATGTAATCATCTGCAGTAAATCAAGTTATCAGAAGATTCAAATTCTTCAAAGGGAATCTTTTTATCTCAACTCGTTGTCCAGATGTGGACCCTGTTTCAGAAAGCCAAACAAAGAAATAAAACCCACAGCTCCCCAGTTGCTCTCCTCCAATCCAGATGTTTTTTTCCAACTTTTTGGACAGATGTCGGCACATCAAACTTCTAGGATATCTTTCATGAAACGGGAAGAATATCAATTAAAACGAAGACATTTCTTAGAAACCTAAACAAAAAAAAAACAGCTCACCACCCAGAAAGAAAACTCCAAATGTCAAAGCTTGTATTTGCTCTTTTCTCCTCCTTCAGAAATTCTGGGGGGGTCTCTCATAGGCTCGTCCCGATCCGAAATCTGGATCGGAAAAATGCGTATCCAGACTCCAGATCCAGTTTTTTTTTTTAAAAGTCTGATCCCACACGAGAATTAGCATTAGCATCTCCTGACCCACAGGTCTGTGTCCTATCCATTAAGTTGTTATCAGAGTAAATCCCTGTTCAACATGAGTCTGACAACTAAGGAAGTAGATAAATAACTTTAGACTTTAACACGTGCTCTGATAGGCTGGGATCGGACTGGAAGTTAAAAAAACTGGATCGGGACATCCCTAGTTTTCATAGCCGATTCTTAAATCTCTATAAGTCACGGTGAGTTGAAGTGAACAGAGAGCTCCTTCAGTCTGCCTGATGTGGTCCAATTAGAGGAAGTCAGATGAGCCTCGTGTTGGAATAAAGGAGTTGCTTTTTCCTCCTGATGGGCTCTGAACATTTCAGTTAAATGAAGCCAAACTAATGCTTTATCTTCACCTAAGCTTAAAGTCAAAGCTGAAGGTTTTTTTAAACATTTTTTTTAAATCTAAACCCCTGGTCCTGGTTCCCCCGGGGACTCCAACCCAGAACCCTCCTGCTAATGATGACGTCCAAATGCTGAGTTTCCGCCTCAGTTCTGAGCTGGTTTAGAGGAGAGGGACTGGTGCGGCCATTTTGTGTCTCCTAAAAACGTTCTCCTTGTTTTGTCTCACAGGTTTTGGGCTTCGAGGTGGACTCCATCAACTCCGTGCAGTTCTCCAACCACACAGGTGCGGTAAGAGGGATGAGGCCTCCAAAGTTTGTTTGGACTCCTTCAGGCTGCTGCTCTCGCTTTGATTGGCTTTAGTTTGGAGTTTTAAACAGAACAGAACATAAACGAGCCAAATTAACCCTTTAAAGCCTGATCCAAGAATAAAACAAAACAGAAAATTAGTTTTTTTTGGTTTGAATTCCCTATTTGGCCTTTGAACAAAATATGTAAAAACAGAAATACATTTTTAATATTCATAATTTATTACTATGCGAGGGGGAGGGGCGTTTCCCATTGGGTGGGCTGTCAGATATTCCAGATTCACTGAAACAGACAGAAGCCAAATAAAGTCACAGGAGAAAAAACTTTTCAGAAACTGGCCTGTAATTGGCTCACATGAGCTCTTTCTACAGGTAGCTACAGATATAGATGGAGACAGTGCTCTGAAATGTCTTTAAATGTCTTAAAATGTTCTTTAAAATGTCTTTTTTGTGTGTCCTTAGAAAATGAACACATTTGTAACCCTTTAAAGCCTGATCCAAGAACGAAACAAAACAGATGAAAATGACTTTTTTTTGGTTTGACTTCCTTATTTGGCCTTTTAAAAAAATATGTAAAAAGAAAAAAAAGAAATACATTTTCAATATTAATCATTTATTACTATGCGATGTCAAGATTATTTTTTGTGTAGTCTTCTGCCCCCTGTCATCAGGTGTATCTGATTGTGTACAATAGGATTTTGAGCAAAGTTTTTACCATTAAATTATGCAAAAGGTGTCAGACGCCAAACATTTCAGAAACCATATTTATCAAATATGACACATTTGGCATTACAGGGTTAAAGACGTGACAATTATGTAACAGAAAAATACATCAGAAAATAGTTAAACTTTAGTGCATTTCAGACTTCATCCACTTACGGTAATTGTGTGTTTCCTAACAATTCTATTATCTATTATCTTAATACTAAATGAGTTTTTACCGATTGGTCAAAAGGAAACTAACACAGTTTATAATATATTTATATTTACAAATTATTACATATCTTTACTGGTGTGTTGTGTCTGCACATTTGATAATGTTGCAGCTAAAAACTTCAACATATTCATGTTTATTTAATTTATTCAGCACAAAATAACAATAAAGATCAATAAAGATCGAACCAAACAAATTAAATCCCACATTTTGGGAGCGTCCCATCCTTTTCTTCCCCACAGAACATTTGGGTCCAAACCAACTTTTCTGTCACTCATCCGAAAAGAAGAATGCAGTTCTCTGTTAGTTTTTTAAAAAGATATTTATCTCTACAATAATCAAATTAGATTAAATTTGATAACCTCACAGGCCCTTTTATGAGACTTTTAACAATGTGAATCCATTTCAGGTGAAGAGTAAATCATCTGGCTTGACCCCATAGATTTAATTATTAATTATTAATGATCATAATATTATTATTATTATTAATATGGAGTGGGGTGACCTTTGACCCCTCTGAGCCTCTTTCTCCAGCTCTGTTTTGAGGGTTTCTGAGCTTTTGTTATCCAGAAAAGCTCAACTTAAAGAGCGGAACAGCTGAGACAACAAAACCTTGTTGTGATGTCACCAAACCTTTTTCTACCCCAAAACAATCCCCCTGTTTCTTTAACACACAGGGAAAAGTTTTTAAGTGAACTTAAGATTCCACGTGGACTAACGTGTGTTTGTTTATAAAACCATATGAGCCGTGTCCCTTTGATGTGGCGGTTCAATGTAAGTTGTAAGTTAGTAATATTATTATAATAATGATGGTATATAATAATAATAATTATATATCATATTTATAATAATATAATAGTATAATAAAATAAATAGTATATAATAGTATAATATAATAATAATAATTATATATAATAATAAATATTATTATAATATATGATATATATATAATAATAGTATAATATAAATAGATAGTATATGATAGTATAATATAATAATAAAAATATATAATAATAAATATTATTTCAATAAATATTATTATAATATTTGATGCTGATAGATAGTTAATAATCAGAGCGATTGAACCTTTTAACGTCTGTTTTTCAGCTCTGGCCACCCCTCGTTTTACCTTCTGATGTCTGTCACACTCGCTTTCTCAGCAAATCTATCATCCCTTAAGGATATTAGTGTCCAGACAACATTATTCAGGTTAAGAGGAAGTGGGGCTGGGCCCTCCTAAAAGCCAGTGAGTCGACCACGGCCCGGTCAAGAATCATCTGGAGAGCAAATCAGGGTTGTTGGAAGGACTGAGGACGAATTATGGAGGAAAAGATCCTCATATCTCTGCATGAACTTCGTTTGAAAACGCGTCAGAATCCGGTGGACTGAAGGCCGTCGTTTGCTGTTTCTGTCATGGAGAAGCTGGAGGCAGGATGGATATCCAACTCCGCCCACATCCAAGTCGGCCATTTTGATTAGGTCACCAATAGGAAGATCCCAGGCAAGAAAATCCTAATTGCTTCATGGCAATATAGAGATTCATTTAAAAATAGTGAAATGAATCTTGCAAAAACTGAATTAAACTCTATCCATAATATTATGTTAAAATAGTGGATGTTAAATAGGTTTGTACAATAAGTCCAAACAAGTTTAACTTAATATTTATTCCTCACAATTATGAAGGTTTAGGGTCAGGGTCAGGGTTAGGGTTAGGTTTAGGGTCAGGGTTAGGTTTAGGGTTAGGGTTAGGGTCAGGGATAGGGTTAGGTTTAGGGTCAGGGTTAGGGTTAGCATCAAAGTTAGGGTTAGGACATTGTCTGTCTTCCGATTTCGTATAGACAGTAA